CGGGTGTGGGGTCAGACGCAGCTCGGGAGGGAGGGCCTCAATGATATCACCGGGGAGAATGCCCCCACCCGGGAGGGGTGTCACAGGGCAGCCTGGGCGGTAGCGGGTCCTAAAGGGAGCACTTCATGGCTAAGGGGAAACTGACCTCTGGTGCCAGGCTCCCTGGGTTCGAATGATGACTTTGCCATTTACAGCTGTGTGCCCTTGGGCAAGTTCCTTACCCTCTCTATGCCAGTGTCCTTAACGGAATGATGGTGCCCACCGCCCAGGGTCACCCTGAAGAGTTAATACAGGGCAGGCGCTCAGCTCCAATCTGCAGCAGGAAGGACTCACTAAGGGTGGCAAACGTCTTTCTTGGGCAGCACCGTCTTTTCTCCCCTAGCTTTGCCCCTACAGTAGGCGCCCCACCCCCAAGCTCTGCCCTGGAGGGTCAGAGTGCATCAGACTCAAGTCAGACAGTGGGTTGGCTGCCGGGCTCTCCTCCGGCCCTCAGTAATTGCTTGGCCTCTCCGAGTCTCCGAGTGACCCTCCCTCATACAGCCTCCTGGGGTGGAGGGAGCCAGGGTAGGAGGGGCGGAATTCAAGTAAAGCTGAGAGATGACCCCCTACGTGGTACCTGGCACCTCTTTGGTGCTTGGGCATGTTGACCATCAGCCCTTCACTAGCATGCTCACTGACTGCCCAGGTAGACTTGCCAGGCAGCGGGACAGGGGCTGGACCCGCCCATCCATCGTGCCACCTCTCAGCCCGATTCTCCTTGGGGTTGTGCGTTTGCATTTGGCGGCTCTTCTCCCTCCTACCTTTCCCAGCGCCCTGCAAACCCCTGGGGTTGTGCAGATGCTGGGGAGTGGATGGGAGAGGCAGGAGAGGCCAAGCCTAGTAGCAGTGTCAGACCTTTCTTTCCACTGTGGCAGCATCAAGCTGACGCCTGTGGTTTATGGAGCTGACGTCACCTCCTTTGGCCAGTCACATTTTTTTAAAATTGTGGGGGCTGTGTTTCCTGGCCCCCAGATGCTGCCCATGAGAACCTAACAATTATGGCACAGGGGGGAGAGCACCACAGAGGGGCCAGGCCAGCAGGTCTTAGGAGAGGGGCTGGGAGGGGAGGGATGGTGCCTTACCACCAGTGTCCTGGGCTCTGAGACTGGTGTCCTTGATGGTGAGACCCACCAGATTTCAGAGAGGTTGTAATATGGAAGTGGGCATCTCACAGTTGACGAAATATGTGTGTTGAAGGACCCACTGGAGCTGGCCAAGGGGAAGGAGGGCATGTTTGTCAACTGGGGGATGGACCCGGCCTTATCTAGGTTCCTCCCTGTTTGGGGATCCTGAATTTGCAGGAACCTCTCTGCCTCCAGACACAAAAGAGGCCTCTTCATTTAAAAGAAACCCAGGCCCAAGAGTTGGAAAGGTCTTCATTTTATAGATGGAAAAACTAAAGCCAGAGAGACAGAGTCTTGCCTTGGGGCCCAGGGCCCAGCAGTGGCAATGCTGGCCTAGAACCCAGGTCTCCCCACCCCTGACCGGGACACTCTCTGCAGCCCCCAGTGCTCTGCCTGCTGGACTCAGCCTTCTCCTGCTCCTGCTCTTGCTCCTGCCCCTGGAACACCTCCTCCTGGCAGCCCTTCAAGCCCAGGGAGCCAGGAACTAGGAGACGTGGAGCCCCATCTCCCAGGCCTTTTGTCTGCAGCGAAGAGCAGGCTGGGATTTGGAGAGGTTTCAGTGACCTTTGTCGGGCTGTGCCCCAACCTCAGGTTCAGGGCAGGAGGGAGCAGAGTAAGAGAACTCCTGGGGCAGGGGATTTCCTGGCTGACATTTGGGGCAGCAACCATTCCCACAGGGCCAAAGCCCAGGGGCCGCACAGCCGGGAGTAGCAGCCCTACCTTCCAGAACCAGCCGAGTCTTCCTTCCATACAGGGGCTGCCATGGGTGTGTTGCCCAGGGAAGCCCCTGACTCCTCTATTGTGCATTGTCCCCCATCCTGGAATGATCGGTCTGACTGTCTGCGAGCCCGATGAGGACAGACCCAAGCCTGAGTCATCTCTGCCCTGGTGTGGCCCAGGCCTGGCCCTGCCTTTCTGGCTGAGGACAGCTCAACAGATAAGATTAGGTGCTATTGACCCTATGGGCAGAGTAACTCTGCCTGGAAGCAGAGAAGACATAGACAGTCTCCAGGATGACATTCCAGAGTCGGGGAAGGGTTATGACAATCACAAGCCAGAGGAGCAACCCAGCCCCACATCATAGGACTTACCTGCTCCTGATACCATGGCTAGAGTTGGTGACCTCAGGACATGCAGGTGACTGAGGTTAAACCTGGCCTCTGGAGCCAGAAAAACCTGGCTCCATCTTCAGCCAGCTGTCCATTATGTTACCTTGGACAAGTGACGTCCCCTCTCTGGGCCTCAGTGTCCTCATCTGGAAAATGGGGATAGTACTGACTTTCCAAGGTTGCAGGGATCAGAGATGGTGGGGGTAACGGGCCATGCACAGTAAATCCCTAGAGAACGTGGGTGACGTGTCATCTCCACAGGCATTTGCAAAGTACTGACGTGTCTCCCTGCACCTCAGATCAGGAGGGGTCCTCTACTGGACCCCTCTACTGGTGAGTGGGTGGCCAAGCTGGGAGCTCAGCAGACATCAGTGTCCTCCAGCTACCGGCTGGTGGAGACAGGGGCACAAGCTAGAGGAATGGACAGTGGCTGGAGTGGACACTGTCCCTGGCAACCAGCTTTCTAAGTGGCAGACATTTATGCTGGACCTCACCTGCCAGCCAGTCTTCCCTGCCACAGTGTGAGGTAACAGTCTTCTCCTTTAACCAGTGAGGACACTGGCCTAAGGTCACAGGGCTGGCGAGTGCCAGAGCCAGTCCTAAGCTGGGCACATCTGATTCCAAAGCAGTGCTCCTAGCCACCCTGTCACACTGTCCGCCGCAAGACGAGAGGAGAGGGCCCCTGAACAGGCGAGGGACATGGGGAGGCGCATGGAGGCTTTTCTGTTCCTATTAGTAGAGGGGGTGAGGGGTGACTCGAGTCCGGGGCAGTTGAACCCCTACCCCACGCCCATCCTCAATGCCCAGCTGCCTGCTCTGGACCCACCTTTCACCCCACCCTCCCCCTGCAGCTTCCCAAGTGCCCTGGAAGACTGCACCTACCCAAACTTGCCCATAGGGGACTGCCCCTCCCAGAGGCCAGGGCCTGACTCAGGGCTAGTCCCAGGCAGGCCCCACCAGCATGGGAAGTGGGGGGAAGACAGGGTCTCCCTGGCTGTCACCCCACTGACCAGCCCTGAGCAAGTGAGCAAGGCCTGAGGACCCAAGCTGCAGCAGTCCAGCGTGCCCCTCGGGGCAGAGGGCTTGTGTGGCAGAGTTTTGAAAACCTCACCTGTTGCTCCAACTGCATCTGTAAAGCTCCCCGTTGTGTACAAAACCCGTCCTATTTCCATTCACCCTGCCTTTATGGAGAGGGAGCAAGCTCCAGGCCTGGGGGCACAGGGGAGTGTGGCCTGGGTGACCTCCTCCTGAGCCCAGACAGGGCAAGCAAGAGGGGCAGAAACCAGGCAGGGGCTGTGAGAGGGGACCCTGGGGAAGGTGGCTTTGGGCAGGGGTCCTGGTTGGGTTGTGAGAGATTGAGAGGCAAAGGAGACCCAAAAAAAACAACATGCTCCTCAGGCAAGCGCTGCGTCTTGTTCATTTCAGGCTCTGAGTCTTGTTCATTTCTTGCTCCCAGTGTCCAAAACTGGGCCTGGAGAAGGTATTATGACCAAATGTATGAATGAATGGGCACACAAACAAATGTAGGTTGATGCCATTCCAGGAGGAGGGGACAGCGTGACAGAAGGCTCGGAAATGGGACGGTCCCCTGTCCGGGGGGACAAAGATAAAAATATCAGTGGCTGGCACGTACGGAGTGTTTCTGTGGTGCTGGGCCCTGTGCAGAGGGCTCTGTGTGGAGGATCTGCCTGAAGCCCCGCAGCAGCTCGCTGTGCTGGGTACTCCTGATATTCCCGCTTGGCATCCCGGGAGGGGAGGCCGGGGAGGCCGGTGCCTGCTGGGCGCACAGCTGGGAAGTGGGGCTCTAGGCCTCAACCCCACCAGGCCACTTCCAGACACTACCACACTGTCAACTCCTAGCAAGGGCAGTGCCGCAGGCATCCCTGGGCTCTGGCCTGGGCACTGGGTCTGCCCTCCTTCAGAAGTTGTCCATACAACCTCCCCATGCTCCCTTTTTCCTCAGAGCTACACCCCCACAGTGTTTGAGCGGCTCAACGTTAATCTGCAAATGAAGGGAAAACCTGTGAACCTCCAAATCTGGGACACGGCAGGTAGGTGTGCAGGGCTGGGGGTAGGGTGGAAGGAGGGGCCCAGATGCTGGGAGCCAAGCCCTACTCCCTTCCTTCTGAACCAGCAAGGCCAGCCAATCTCCAGGGGACAGGTGTGGGCCAGGATTAGGGCCCCCAGGGACTGAACCATCCTTGCTTCTGTGCCTGTGTCCGCTGCTTCCCCCACCACAGGGCAGCCCTCCGTGTCCTGGAGACAAGGGGAGTCCCAGAGCTCTTTGCTCTCAAGGGGTGGACTGTTCCTGGCCTCAGCCAGGCTAATTCCACCCTGGCTTAGCTTCTATAAGATCTGCCTGACCTTAACCTCTGCCCTCCAGCCTCCTTGCCCACACAAGTGTTCAGAGCCAACTTTACACCAGAGCTTAAAGCTAACCTCAAGGAGTCCCCGCAGCCCCCTCATCTTGAATAGGCAAAGATGTCTTTGCTGGGGTCCCGCCTGCCTCTTTCTCCCCATTTCCTGAAGCCCAGGGCAAAGCAGGCTTCTGAATGATGGCCTCAGCCCCTCCAGGCTGGGCCTCTACCTTGCCCTAACCTTCCAAAGCAAGGATATCCCGGCAAATGGTCTCACCCAGGCCAGGGCTGGCATAGCCTGTGGGTGGGCCAGGGGAACACTGCCCTGAGGGGGACATTCATGTGGAATGACACCCTAAGTGCCACATTTGTGTTGGACCCAGAACTAGACCCTGATACACACACAGTGTGGTAGGACCTCAGGCTTGATGTTGGGGAGGTGCTGACAGCAGCAGATCTAGAAGGAGTGACTACACCCGTTCTACCAGGACAAGTTGATTATGACCGCCTGCGGCCCCTCTTCTACCCTGACGCCAGTGTCCTGCTCCTCTGCTTCGATGTCACCAGCCCACACAGCTTTGAGAACATCTTTAACAGGGTAGGTACTTGGGGGGGGGGCGGGAGGCACGGCCCCCAAAGCCAGGCTCCATCCCTCCTTGATCCAACAGACTGTCAGAGCTCAGCAGGCCCTGGATGACATCAAGGCCAGTGCCTTTGGCATATATATAGGGAAACCGAGGCCCAAAGGTGGGCGGCAGCTTGCCAGGGGTTCCACAGGGATCTCTGGCCTCCCAACTCCCAGTCCAGTGCTCCTCGCCTGCTCTCTGCTGCAGACTCAGAACACTGTGGTTCTATCGCTGTGACCCTGCCTGAGAATACTGGGTGGCCCAGGGGCCCCTGAATCTCCCCTGCCTGGGCCTGACCAAGGTCGCGTGAACTGTCAGCTTCCAGCAGCTCTCAGCCCCCGTCTCTGTGACTGTCGCCTCTCGGTGGCCTCCCAGGATGCCCCCCAGTTATGTCGGGTCCAGAAGCTGCACACAGGTGTCAGGGCCTCCGTGTGACCAGCATGCCCCAGGGTCCTCAGAGCACAGCCGGTGACAGCATTACTAATAACACTACAACAGTGGCAGCATTGAAACTTCCCATGTGCCAGGCACTCTTCTGGACACACACATATTTCCCCATCTAACACCCTTACAACCTCAGGGAGCAGATACTATTACTATCCCACTTGCTCCAAGAAACACATCTAGTGAAGTGGTAACTCAGGGGTTGAACCCAAGCATCCTGCTCCACACAGGCATTCAGAAGACTGCCTGAGCTCATCTACGTGCCAGGCGCTGTTGTAGGCACTGGGGACCGGGCGAGATGGTGGTGGCTGGGACCAGGGTGCTAGCAGAGGGGGTAATGAGGTGGGTGGATACTGAATCTGTTTGAAAGGCAAAACCATCAGGATCTGCAGGTGGTTTGATGTGGGTGGGAGAGAGCCATTTTGACCAGAGTAACTGGAAGGGGGACTTGCCATTTCCTGAGATGAGAAGGAGCAGGTGGGAGGCGGGGGCCTGGTGGCCATCCTAGTGCAGGTGGCAGGTAGGCAGGTGGAAGCCTGAGTCTGGGGTTCTAGCAGAGGGCTGGGCCAGCCTGGGCATTCAGGAGCTGCAGTGGGGAAGAGCCATGGGCTGGGGGCAGTTACCTGGAGGTCACCTGGAGAGCAAGAGCCGCTAGAGGAGAGGCACACCCACAGCTTAGGGGGGCGAGTGCTGGCAAGACCCGAGAAGAGCCAGGAATGAGGTCCTGGGGTGAAGTGCAGACCAGGTCTCGGAGAAGGGTGTGATGATCGCCAGTGTCAGGTAGGATGAGGCCTGAGGATTCACTTTGGGTTTAGCAGGAGACCCCTTCTGAGGGCAGCTTTGTGGAGGTCTAGGGTGTGGGGAGTCCGCCCGGGCCCCACGCGCCTCCAGGAGCTAGCCGGCTTGACGCCCCTTTTCCTGCACGGGCACCAAGCAGGCATGCGCTCTGGCACACGTGAAGCCTGGGCTCTGGGTTCCAGGGTCCCAGGCTCCCGCTTGTAGTCCAGGCTGTATAACCCGGGGCCTACATTCCAAAGAGCAGCTGGCTCAGGACAAGCTTTCCCTCGTGCAGGCAAACAGTTGCTGCAGTCATGTTGTAAGCTGCCTTGTCTTTGAAGGACCACTCATCTGCTGACATATTTTACCCACTTGGGCAGGGGGTTGTGGGAGCCCTTACCTTGTAGATAGGCAGGGTTCCAGAGGAGCTGGGAGCAGGTCACTGGCCTCAGATCCTGCCACTTCCAGTTGTTTGACCAGGGCCAATTTATATAGCCTCTCTGGGCCTCAGCTGCCACATGTGTACCGTGGGATTGACGGTAGAAGTTGCTTCATAGGGACCTGGGGGGTTAATGAGTTCATAGGTGTAGAGTCTTAGAGCCTGGCACAGAGCAGGTCACCCTGCACGCCAGCTGTGCTGATGATGGAGCTGCCTGGGGAGCAGGAGGACGGCCCACCCTCCCCTCTGCGGAGAAGGCGGTGCTCCCCGTGGCTGACACACATGCCACCCCTTCCCCGCAGTGGTACCCAGAGGTGAATCACTTCTGCAAGCAGGTGCCCATCATCCTTGTGGGCTGCAAGACTGACCTGCGCAAGGACAGGTCACTGGTGAAGAAGCTGCGGAAAAATAAGTTGGAGCCTGTGACCTACCACAGGGTAGGAAACCCAGCCCAGGGGCAGGGGTGCCGGGAGCGGGGACCTCTGGGATACGTTGACAGCACAGCCTCTCAGTAGCTCCCAGCATACTCAGGATGCGGGGCAGGGGAGGGGCCTCCTTGGAGGCAGTCACGGGTCAGACTGCTGGTGCTTGGAAGTGGTACCTAGAATACTCCCGAAGGTTCCACCTGTGGGAGGACCAGAGATGTGCAAGTCGGATAGTGTCCTGCCCACTCCGTCACAGGTGGGGAACCTGGAGCCCAGAAAAGACCCCCAGCTCTTCAGTCTGGAGGCCCCTCTCTGCTACACTCCTGAGAAGTTAGTTGGTACCTTGAGAGGCAGAGACGCAGCCCAGACCTGAGGCAGGAAACCCAGTGAAGCCACAAGGGCGCTTGGTCAAGCCGGGGGGCAGGAGCTGTGGGTACCCTAGAAAAACTCACCTTCTAGTTCTGTCCTGGAGACTCCTGAGGATGGTCAAGGGTGCTGTGCGGAGGCTGGGCACGAGGTGCCCCAGCAGCCCCATCTCACGCTGCCCGTCACCCTCCCTGTTAGGGCCAGGAGATGGCGAGGTCCGTGGGTGCAGTGGCCTACCTCGAGTGCTCTGCGCGGCTCCAAGAAAACGTGCACGCGGTCTTCCAGGAGGCAGCCGAGGTGGCCCTCAGCACCCGCAGCCGCAACTTCTGGCGGCGGATTACCCGGAGCTGCTGCGTGGTGATCTGACTGTGTGGGGCCCTCCCTGCCCAGGCCGCCCAGCAGCACCAGACGGAGCTGGGCGCTGACCTACTGCTGGACCCAGTTCCCAGGTTGTGACCGAACTGTCCTTCAAACAGATGGTGTCCTTCAAACAGAGGCCGGGCCCCAGACCCCTCTGAGGCACAGGGGATTTCGTACCAGCCTCCAACCCTTTGACTGAGATCCCTAGACTGAAGCAAAACCCTTCAGAGGAGTGAGGAAGGGGGTTCCCAGGCCCACCAGCCCTGTGGAGGGCTAGTCCTGGAGTCCCCTAGAATCACACTCCAAGCTCCCAGCCCTGGACCGCACATCCTGGAGCGGCCACGCAGCCTGGCGCCACCTCGCGGCTCTTCCCGGGGCTGCACCGTCAGCACCTTCAAGCAGCACCTGGGACCACCCCCACCCCGACCAGAACTCACACCTGGCTCCTTACCCCTTCGTCCTGCCCTTCCCAGTGGTAACTGTAACAACTAAAACGACATCACCTGTCAATTGTGGCATGCTCTTGTTTCGAAATGCCTTTACACACATGTTACAGGGTGCATAAGAGCCCACCCCGTGGAGGCCCTGGAGTGGAACTGCTGGATCCAGGCCCCGCCCTTGGCTTCTCCCCTTTACTTTCTCTGAGAGCTTGGTCGGCATGGCCATGTGACATAGTCCTGTCTGCCAGCTTCCCTAGAGCACAGACTGGTTTAGTTGGAATCCCCTGGGCCTCAGACAGTGCCTAGCACACAGGAAGCAGTCACACACGTGCCCAGAGAAGGAAGTCCGACCTCCATAGCTGGGGCTTGGGCTCTCCTGCATCTGACCGCAGCCCACCTTACCCTCTGGATGCCCAGGACGCCTGACACCCCAGCCACACCTGGGGAGCGCTAACACCCATACCAGCCTCCAAGCCTTTGTGTGCTGTTCCCCCACCTCAGCGCACACTTCCTCCCAGTCACTGCCTGTTCACCCCCAAGTCCTCCAGGGTCCAGCTCAGACACCACCTTCCATCAAGCCCTTGGACCCACCAGCTTCCTTGCTCCCACCTCACTGCTCCCACACGCAAACGTCCACTGTCTTTTGTCAGGGCCCTTTGGCCAAGGAACTGGGCTTTTCTTCCTGTGCTGTGGGAGAGGCCAGCTTGGACTCCTGAAGATGACAGGTGTGGTGGCAGGACCAGGCATCTGGGAGGGTGGAGGTGGGAGCGGGAGACCAGTCGGGCAGCTGCTGCAGACGTCCAGAAACAGGAAACAGGCCACCACAAGTCAAGGCCAGGTGACTCGGGCATTGAGGATGGACTGTGGGAAGGGCGGGGACACTGAGAGCCAGGGAGAATGCTGGCCTCTCCCCTGCGTGAGAAACTCCGAGAAGGAAAGCCCCTTCTAGACACTGGGACTGGGAGAGGTGTCCCGGGGGGTGTCAGGTGACTGGGTTCCAGCTACAGGCCACACGCAGCCATCTCAGGTGTCACAGGAGGACACGGCCAGTGGTAGCACTTGGAGACACTGCTGAGGAGCCAGGGTTGTTATTATGGGTGGTGGCTCTCCTGCTCTCAATTCCTCACGGCCCCGCCCGGCAGGGCAGGCACAACCAGACAAGTGGGAGCTGGGGAAGGCAAAGCACAGAGGCCGGCGGGACTAAGCCACAAACCACAGTCCTCATTTCTCCACACCGCCTCCGCCTGGCGTCTGGTGTCTGCAGGAAGGCAAGGGGCGGAGGTCGGGACCCCAAGTCAACTCCTCCAGGACATGCCACTCCCTGGCATCGTCGGGTGGACAGGATGGGGCGCACTCTGAGTCATGAAGCTTCTCTCTCCTCTTTGCCTGGACAGCACCCTGGGTCCCACATCTTGGCAGATCACTCCACTTCAGGTCACCCTCTTTGCTCTCTCTGACCTCCTGCTCCTGTGGAGGATGAGAGCTCATGGCCCCCAGGAAGTCATCCCAAAGCCCCTGGCCCAGGAATCAGGGAATCAACAAAGCCTGTGACCAGGCTGGGGAGCAGAGAGATCCAAAACTGACCACCTGACCACCCACCCTACATTCCAGGGCTTCACCTCCAAGTTAAATTCTTCTGATTAAGGCCGGATTGTGGAAAGTATAGGATTTTCCTGGGTTCAAATCCTGGTTCTGCAACTTACCAGCTCTGTGACCTCAGAGGAGTCACCAGGGCACTCTTTGTGTCGGTTTCCTTATTTGGAAAAAGGGTATGAGTAGGCCCTACCTCCTGGAGTGTTGGGAAGACTAAATGAGTCCATGCAACTAGTCTTTACTCATTCAGTGTTAACACTAACGAGAGGTATTAACTATGAAATGAGGGTCATGATTTGCTCTGCCAGGTTACTGCAGAATCTGCAGCGTGGGAGCGAGCGTGGACATGTTTGGTGGATGTTGGTCTCCTTTTCCCAGTCTGGGTCACCACACCCTGGGAGGAGGAGGGAGGGAGCTCGGACCCTCCTGGTAAGAAGGATGGGGGCCTCAGAGGACTCTCTGGAAGACCAGCTGGACCCTGCAAGGGAGCCAGGAGGATGGGGTTGGAATTCCTCCAGGGTTCATGTTTGCAGAGGAGACACCAAACCTGACCCAGCACTGAGCGCAGGGCAGGGGGCTGGGGAAAGTGAGAAGGACATGGTCCTGGCTTTCCAAGCTTCTATCCTCCATACTCCATGGGAGCTCCAATGTGGACACAAGCAGACGGGGAGGGCAGCGTCCAGTATTCACTCAGCAGCCTTCTGCTGTTGAGATAAACAGGAGGGGAGCTGGGGGTACAGGGGTCAGGGAGGCGCTTCCCACTGAATGAAAGACACGGCCAACCCAGAGCCGACCCACCGCACCCATCATCTGCTGCAGGGTGCTTCTAGGACCCTCTCTTCTGTCTGCCCGCAGACCATCCCGGTTCTGTCAGGCCAGGCCCTGGAGGTGACATTCTGCACATTCTACCTCATTCTGTCCTTACAATCCCCACTTTGCTGATAAGGAAACAAGTTGAGAAAGCTAAAGAGCAGGACCAAAAGCAGTGAGTGGCAAGCTGGGTGCTTGGACACAGGAGGAGTCACAGCCCCCAGCTCCTGAGGTCCCAAGGGCGCTGGCCGGCGGCTGGACCTCGACCAGCAGAGGGCAGCAGGGCCCAAGGAGAGCTGCGTTTCCCCGCAGGGAGAGGCGGGCGGGCGGGCCAGGCGAGCAGTCAGCCTCATCCCCTACTGCTTGGGGCACTTTCGGTGACACACCACTCCCACCAGCTGCCACCCACTGAGCGATGCCCGCCCCGCTCCCCCCGCCCCAAGTTGTACTGTAGGAAAAGCAGGCTCAGAGTAGCCAAGTGACTTGACCATTCCGGCCAGCCTGGGCATGCTGTGCCCAGTTTGTTACGGCTCTAGGTCAGAATCTAGGGTGAGTCCTGGCCCTACAATTACCACCTCACAGGATTATGGTGAAGTCAAAGGAACCCTCTCCGCCGAGCACTTCCCACAGGGCCGCGTAACCCAGGCTCGCTTTTTCCTCCACACTACACCTGGGGAGGCACGTGGGGCCTGAGGGGTCCCGGTCCCTGCCCGCCTTCCCCTGAAATTTCCACCCAAGGATTTGTAATATAGTTTGGGGAGATGAACAAAATTCTCCAAGAATGTCAAAGAAGCCCAGGGTGTGCTCCCAGAATGTCAGGTGCTGCGCTGAGCCGGCACCTGGGGCCAGAACAATCCTGGGGGGCTGGCAGGAGGAGGAGGATCTGGAGGCCCCTGGGGTCCTTCCTGCTGGAGAGCTAGCCACAGGGAGACCCAGGCCCCGGACGGGGGCGGGAAGCTGCTGGGAAAGTTTCAAACCGGCTTCTCCCCAGTACTCCCTACAACTGAAGGAGCTGAGTCATGTGACAAAGTCAAGTCATG